TGAGGGCAAGGCTGTCTGACAATTTATGTCACCGCCAGTATGTAAGAAATTACTCTGGTGCATAAAACCCACGTGGCAACGCTTTCTGCCCGTGGAAACAGAATTACATTCCTTTGGTAGGGGTTCTGGTGAGCTACAGTATTACCAGGAGAGAGAAAAAAAATCCCGTTAGCATTTTTGTTTCGGGTGGCTGAGTTGGTTTTGCAGATTTTTTTCCTGGCAGGTGTCAGGGAGAGTTCCTGGGTTCAGATATTGTTGCTGGACTTTGTTATTAAGCCTCGGTTTTAATTTGATTAGACTGACTGGAGGCGTTTCTATCCTTCACGTTGTCTGGGGATCTGTGTACAAACCGTGATCAGCCTCGGATCCGAAATGCTGGTGTGCCTAAAGCTGCTGTGAAATGTGAGTAATGACAAAGAATGGCAAACCAAGAAGTAAAGTATTATCAGATCTTCACATAGCATGAAACTACATTGAAATGCACTATTGAAACTGGTAGCTTATTACTCCGAAACACTTTACTGGAAACCCAGTGTTAATGTGTGCCTGTGGTCAGTTCTTGAGAGCATGGCTCCTTCAGATCAGAACAGCTTATTTTTTAAGGATTTTTTTTTTTTTTTAAAGAGAAAACAAAAGGTTTGGGATATTTGAGATGAATGAAGTTGGGTGGGCACTGAACCACGCCGAGCGGGACTGCAGTAGCTCCCAGGAAGGGGCGTGCACAGGGCTCAGCGCTCCAGCCCCAGCGCTGGAGCAGGGCTGGGAGCTGCCGCTGAGTTTCCCCGACGTAAGCGGCCATCGGTGAGTAGGTGTCTCATCTCCTGTTGTGCTCCTGGGCACTCCAGGAATGTCTCCTTCGATAGTCATTTCAACAAGCCATTTGTCTGCGGCAGTGTGGTGCTTTCTGCTCTTACCGAGATGTTCCATTACCACACCAGCTCTGCGCCGTGTGGGTGACGCGAGCACGGCTGCCTGCTTGGCAGGGTGAGGCTCAGCATCGAGCCTGGCTACGGGCCGAGAGCCGGAGTGGTCCAGGGGGCTGCTCCCAGGATGGTTTTCCAGGCAGCACCGGGTACATTCCCTCCAGCCCCGCTGGGCTGCCGGTTGCTTTTGTGCCTTTCTGAGCATCGCTGCAGGCGTGAGATTCGCAGGAGCTGTGCTCTTCCCCACGGACTGTACATCAATGATTTCTCAGACAATCTAACAACACACGGCGCTCAGTTTGTAATTCCCTGGCCTGGTGGGAGCGGGCTAACAACCCGCCACGCTGCCTTGGCTTGTTGTTTGGGTCGTAACTACTTTTAGTGTGCCCCCACAATTGCCTCTCATAAAATCGGGAGGGAGGAGCCCTCCGCTGTTAGCGGGAGTTGCCTGGAAGGGTTCCCGGGGAGGGGACCACTTCCCTGCTCCCCAGCGCTGCCGTACGCGAATGGCTCAGCTGTTCTGAGAGTGCCTGGGGGACTCAGTTCCCATTTTACTGTCTGAGCTCATCTGCATCGTCACGCTGCTGTGTTTCAGGAATCCCTATTTCTCCTTTTCCTCTTCCTTCCCAGAGCATATGAGAAATGGTTTGCTGTCTTATGGAGGATATTTTCATGTTGCTGTAGCTGGCAGGTAGATGAGAGCCTCCCTTAGGCAGGCTGCCAGGGGAAAGCCAAGCCTGGGTGATTGGCTTCCATCAGGGCTTGGTCCAACGCACGGCGAGATCCCTGCTGATGCCATCCCATCTGCCCCAAAAAGCGAGGGTCTCTCACCTCCCCCAGGTCCAGCGCTTGGGGTGATCAATTACCGACATCACAGGCACACTTTAAAACCCCAAATGAAAAAATATCTGGGCTGTGTCCCCTCCTCTGACATAGTTATTCTCCTCCTCGCCCTTGCAGTGAGGGTGACACTTTGCCTCTGCTTTGCAAGTGGTCGGTGACAGGACAGAGAGGCCAAGGGGGTCCCAGAGAGGCCTCGTCTCTCTGACTGAGAGACAGGGGTGTCACGTGGGACAGGGCCAGATGCTCTGCCCAAGTCCGGGTAGATGACATCAGTCGCTCTTCCCTCACCCACCGATGCTGTAACCCCGCTGCAGAAGGTCACCAAATGTGTCAGGCATGATTTTTCCTCAGTGAAGCCACCTTGGCTCTCACCAATCACCTCCTTATTGCCATGAGCCCCAGCAGGGTTTCCAGAAGGACCCGCTCCGTTGCCAAGCACAGAGGTGAGACTGACTGTCATCTAGTACCCTGTGTCGTCTTTTTTTTTTTTCCCTTTTTAAAAATGGGGATCATGTTTCCCCCATATGGGGGTTATGTAATCCTCAAAATGGGGGTTATGACTTTTCCAGACATCAGGAACCTCACTGGTCTGCCACGGCTTCTCATAGATAGTGGCTTAGACACCTCATCCATCAGTCCCCTCGGGACCCATGGATGCATCTCATCCCGTCCCGTGTGCACCTTTGGGTTCCTCAGATGGTCTCAAACCTGATCTTCTCCTACAGTGGGCAGTTCTTCCTTCTTTTTCATTTCGTGCATGACTGTTTCTTGCCTGCTGGCATTTGGCTGACCTGTCTTGAACGTCAGTTCTGTTACCAAAAGGAAAAAAAATAAATAAATAAAAAAAAAATCCCTTCTTTTCATCTGCAATTTACATAATTAAGTAAGAACTCATTGCCTCTTCCCCCGTTTCCTCACCGAGGTTGGGTGTGCACCAGGCTGCCTGGGAACGCTGCCGGTGCCACTTCCTCTGCTCCGAGCAAAACTCCTGCTGCAGTTCCAGGCAGGAGCTGGGAACTGGGGGAGGAAGGCCGAGATTAACAGCCTTGTGCTGCTGAGGATCCCTCCACCACCTCAGCAGGGACAAATGCAACCTGCTGCAGATTTGGACCTGCCTTTTGGCTGCTTGACAGTGTGAAGGCACAGGGATGAGGGAGTCCTGTTTGGTGCATCTGGGGTGGTTTCAGCAATGCTGTATGCAATACTGTGACTAGCCTGGGCATAAAATCTATTTGCCTAGTCTTCCCCTGATGACGGATATACGCTCGAGATTGAGCTTGGTTATCAATAAATTACTCATCCATCAAAACTTTATAGAACAGCCCTGGCCCACAGGCGGTGGCACACAAGATTGCATTGCAACAGGCACACGCTCAGGCTGCTGCTCTCTCCCAGAGCATCGTGGCTCTCCAGAGGGTGGCTGTGGGACTAGAGGGGTGTCTTTGCCACCTCCATGCCCTTTAAGTCCATCTGACCTTCTGTCCTGGGTACAGGTAGTCCAAGAAGTTTTTTAACTACTCATTTTTTTTTGTAGACTGATCTTAGCTATCTCCAGAGGGGTAACAAACAACCAAGCCAAGCCTCAGAGCCAACAGCATGGTGAACCAGCCTGGGTTTTGCACCAGTGCTGCCACATTCATGTGACAGCATGTCCCAGCTGGCAGATACTGGTTCCCTGGGGACAGTCTGGATCTGAAACATTGGTATGAGAACATGTCTGGTCTGCTTGAGGACCTTGGCTGCATCAGTTTTGCTCAGCGGCTAAAGGTTGTGGCAGGGTAATCACAGGTTTTGCAGTTAAAGTCTTCGCTGGTGGGTAAAACTTCCCTGCTGCTGCTGGGCTCGTGGACTTTTTGCGTGAAATTTCTGTCCTTCTGCAGGGCGATAGCTTTGGACTGTCACCTAATGGTCACCTAAGTCACCCGTGCTCCTGAAAAACCAAGTGTCGTCTTCTGGCACCGAGGTGGGAGCTGCGTCATCCCAAAGCCTCCCAGACCTGCACACCTCGGGCCTCCAAATACCGGGGATGTGCTGGCGGAGAGAAGTGTCCACCCACCCAAGGAGCAAGCCTGGGAGCAGGGTTCCCCGTACTCGGCGGGTGAAGGCCTCGTGTGCCAGGACAGTGATGGAGAAAGGTCTTGCCAACCTTCTGAGTCACGCTACCTTTACTAGCACACCACGTCCTACTGCCAGAAACCCTGAGGTGTTTGGACCACTGGCATCCCAGGGTGGGTGATGCCGCTTCGTCTTCCCACATCCCAACGCCTCCGTGATATGCTGGGAACGGCCCCTCTCCAGGAGGGACTTGGCAGCGCAGCTCCGTGCCAGGGGGAACCCCCGAGCTTGGCATTTTGGGGATGCAACCCCCATGACAATCCCTCCTTTTGGTCACATCCTTCTTCCTGAATGAAAAATGATACGACAATGCCAAGACTTCCCGCCTCCGTAGGTTAGGCAAAAACCTCTGGGTGAGAGAGTTAGTCCCTTTCACTAGCTCATTAATTCAGTAAATTACAAAGGGAAATACTTGCCGGGAAAAGCAAGAAAAATCCCAAAAGCTAATCCAGGAGTTATTTCCTCCCGATACCTGGATAAAAACGTGTTCTTCGGAGCTCTTCGGGTCAGACGTCAATGACACAGGTGAACCCACGCCAAAGGACAAGGTAAAATACTGATTTTATCCTTTTGCTCCATATGCTCGTGAATATTTCCTTCTATTCCTTCAGTGTGTCTCTGAAAGGTGCTTTTTTTTTTTTTTCATTAATAACCTTCATTTTCAGTGCTGACAGAACTTGCTTTTGAAGCATGCTCTTTCTGAGGGAAAGCATTTTCTTTTGTGATCTGCCGCTGTCAGTCACAGTAACCTCCTGCTACTTCTGAATCCGTGGACTTTTAAAAACTTAATTTATCTGTATGTATTTTTCTGATTAATATTTTTCAGAAGAACTTTGTCTATTTACATGCAATCTTTTCCTGGCATTTTTTTTATTTTTTACTTCTTTTGGGATCTTCTGTTAAATTTTTTTTTTTTTTTTTTGCACATGGGGAGTGAAAAAGTAAAGAGATACTTGTCAGTGTGGGTTTTTTAATACATACGTACATGTAGAAGTGCTATATAAAATATGTATATTTTCATGAGCATCACAGCTGTGCTACTGAGGAAGACATCGAGGAAATATTGTCTCCCTTGAACAGCTCTCCCAGCTGCCAGCTGTGGCGGCATCTTGCAGCAGCATGAAGGGATCCAACCTGTTTCTCTGCCTCTTCTCCGTGTCCTGTTTGTCGAATCTGATGCTGACAGCTGGGAACAAAATCTTCCACTTCGGACCCTGCAGGGTTTCAATAAGCGTGACTGAGATTAGGTCTGGTTTCACGGCAATTAAAGACAACATTGTAAGTATTGCTCCGGGCTGTTGTGGCGCTGGGGAGGCTCTGTAGCGGGCTGCTCCCGAAGCCCCCCTGGAGACAGCACGCCCATCCCCATCATCTTCTCCCATGCAGCAAGCCAGAGACCCCATCAGGACCCTCAGCATCTTGTCTTATCCACATTCTCTGCACAAGGTCAAGGTAGGTGTCCTTACCGTGTCTCCAGATTTTCTCTGAGTAATTTTAACCACCTAGCATGCCAACCCCAGCCGTGAGGTGTAGGAGCTCAGGGGGTTTGGGGAAGTTTTTTTAATACCGTGACTTCTAAGTTCCTGCGAAACTCAGATGCTGAGAGACGGCACGGGTCAGGGAGGATAACGTGATGTGGATCACGTATATGAAAAGAGGTGGGTGTCCCACTGCCGGTTCCTGCACTTGGCTTTCACCCTGACTGTCTTTCCAGAAATGATGGGCAGAGGTTGTTTTTGGTCGTTGCATGTGATGCTCCAGTTACAGGAGTTTTAGCTGTGGCTCCCCACCACCTTGATCGGTGGAGGCGTAGGGAAGTGAATCAGAATCTGGGTGGGATGCTATTAAAGAATCCAAAAGCAGGTGAAATATGTTATAAATAAGTTTTATTTTTCAGCTCTTTTACACTCCAAGGCACTAGACATGGGCCACCACTTCAGGTCTTAGCCTCTAATACCCAGTTACAAAATCAGCTATTTATTTTGTGGAGGCAATAAGACTTGCTGAGGATGGATCTCCTGGAAAATCAGTCTAAAATAATTGCCTATATCTGTTATCCATTCACAGCAAGCATCACTGAAAAAGCTTTACATGAGTCAAGCCATCCCACTGTGCCCAGCCACTGAGCTTGGTGTTAGAGATGGGGACAGAAGGGCGGGTGACTACGGGTTTAAAGCGCTTTGGAAGACCTTTTAAAATGAAATTTATTCCTTAAGTCTTCAGAGAGATGCTGCGTCGCCCATCACCTCTTCGACTTCTACGTGGACAAAGTTTTCAAACACTGCAAGACTGAGGATTCCTATGTCAACCGAAAAATCAGCAGCATAGCCAACTCCTTCCTCAGCGTGAAGAGGAAACTCGGGCAGTGCGTAAGTCGTGGGTATTGCTACGCTTCGGTTTCATCTGCTGGGTATATAAACAAACCCAAGTGTTTTATAAAGCGACAAAAATCTTTATTTATAAAAATGGTTTCATAAAGAAGCATGAGTGAAGAGTGTGAATGTCCGCTGAGGAGTTTTCATGCTTGCCCACTCATCAGCAAACTCCCACGGTAGTTCTCAAGAGCGGTATTTATCCCGTCCCTCTGTCTATCAAAGCAAACTGTTCCCAGCTGAAGTCTGATTTAAGGACCTGCAGCCTCTTCTGCAGTTTGATAAGGTCTGCGTCTACACAGTAATTTCCAGCATAAATGGAAAGTGATCTCTTACCTTCAGACCCCCCCCCCCCCCCCCC